TATCAACATCAAGAGTATTTTTAAAACAAATAAAACCAATCACTTTGAGACAAAAATCAACTTGGTAAACACCAGGCTCTTTTCTTAAATAAACACCTCTCTTCATTTCACTCTTTTCGCAACCCAAATCAAACGTCGATCAACATCGAGTGCATTATTCCAAATAAAAACTAAAAAACACTTAATCATTATCTAACATCTTTCACAAATAAGGACGTGGTGTAGGTCATGAGCTCCCGAGGGTTAGGATACGAGATGAAGATGTCGACCACCCGAACACTTGACATCCTCTAAAAAAACTCTCAATGCGATTGTTGCAAATCATTTTTCTCAATAAATTTGAACGAAAAAAGGAACGTGATGTAGGCCATGAGCTCCTGAGGGTTATGATACGAGATGTAGTTCTCGACCATCCGAACACTCGTCGTCCAACAAAAAATACCTAAAAATATCAAACCCTTTCATAAATAAGATGAAAAAGGAACGTTGTGTAGGTTACGAGCTCTCGAGGGTTAGGATACGACATGTAGATCTCGACCATCCGAACGTTCATTATCATCCAAAAATATATCAAACATATCCAAACCATTTTGCCTTTTGGCATACCTTCAAAATCTTTTTGAACAAAAGATTGTCTTGAGACGACGCAAAAAATGTCTCATCCACATATGTGTGATTGAGATAAGTGGCATTTTCCCGCGAATGTTAATATTTAGAATCCATTTGGTGTGATGCAAATGTCCACTCCTCTAAACTGTTTTGGGTAAGTAATGTTTTCCGTCGATTGTGAAAAAATAGCTTTCTCTAAAAATGACCAACAAAAAAACATTTTCTACCCAGAACTACGTAGTCTTGAGTTCTCCATCGCATCCAGAGATACGTAGAAGCGAGATTCAAAGTCTCGTCAGACACCCTAATAAAAAACCTATTTTTAGTCTTTTTCACTTTTTCTCAAACTTTTAATAACTCAAGGAAATCAAACATTTTAAACACTTAAAGCGCATAGCTAACTTAGCGGTTCCCGTTGAGTATAATGGATGTGAGGGGTGTTAATACTTTCTTCTTGTATAATAAACTCCCAAACTCGATTTGGTTGTGACGTCCATATCATTGTCGTTATTTAAGGGGTTTTATCAATATTTTTCTTTCTTGGTTTAAAAATAAATAAAGTTCGGTGACGACTCTGTTAGTTATCCCGAGAGTGTGCGACACGCTCGCAAGTGTCTTATTCTTTTTTTGAGATGCGACAACGGCTGACCGTGTAGCAAGATAATGGATGTGAATTTCAAACCCAACGATCTTCTATGTCCACCTGCAAAAATAAATATTTAATTAAAGTTAATAAAAATAATTAAAAATAAATGTAATTTATCAAAAAAAAAGTACTAGTAATTTTATTATTATCAGCTACATTAAAAAGATAAAATGATAAACAAAATTGTATTAGTATTTTTTATTTTATTTTTCATTTTGTATTTTATTGCTTAAAATTATATATAAAATTTAATTTCTAGTGTATTAATATTCTTCTTCTAACAATACTCATGAAATAAATTTATCTCTTTTATGATATTATTCAGACTTTAATTTTTTGTTATGCCAAAGTCCATTGTGATATAAACAACCCTACAAGAATAACAACCCTATAAAATGAATCTATCTTGATCTTATTTAATAATATTATTTAAATATGATATCTTTAAAAATAAATAAATAATAGATGCAATAAAAATAAATAATAACTCAATCTGGATAACCGCGATAACTCAAACATTGAATTGTTAAGTTTTTTATGAAATTGAATACATTTTAAATATTTGAAAAAACTCTACATTTTAAAATTTTCTATATACAAATTTTTATTCAATTGTAGTCCTATTCTATTTTATAAAGAATTAAATATAGTGACAATTTCTTTTATAGAAATTAATAAAACTACGAATTAAAATTTACTAAATATTTTATTGATAGTAAACTAAAAGACTCATAACGTGACTGTGATTAATAACATATTTAATCCATTACATACATTTTTGTTTAAAACATTTTTTTATTAAAAAATTAAATATATCAAGAAATAGGTTTTTATTAGAAAATACATCAACATTTGTCATTAAATATTCCATATAAAAATGAAAAAAATAACTATCATTCATAAATAGGAATGTATATGGATATTCATGGGGTGAATACTATGATATTCGTAAATGACTCGTTAGATAAATATGATATTCATATCCATCACATATTCACGCGAATATCCATTAAACGGGTAATTCTCGGGTTTTACGGTATCCACGGATATTTATAGATATCCATGAATAATATTTTATTTATAAATTTTTTTTTTGAAAAAGATATTTTTAACTTTTTTTAAAGACACAAAAAATTATTATCACATAACATATATACAATTCGCTCTTAATTTAATAATAAAATTTTATCACATTAATTTTCTTTTTATTCACCAAAATATAATTAGATCCAAACATAATATCCATACATTTTATTTTTAACCAAATAAATAAAAGATATTGTGATAATGAGTTATGATGGAAGATCGGACGACAGAAGAGTATGAAAGGAGACACTGTTTCGACAGAGAAATGACAATATTTGTTGGTTGGACTGTCAAGTTGATGAAGTGAGGTATGAAGTTACGAAAGAGTTTAAATATGAAATGACTAATAGAATTTGAAGGAAAAGTGAAAGGCTTTCTTCCCAGAAAATTAAAAAAAAAAAAGAGAAAAAGAATAAGAAGACTAATTGTTTTAAAAGATGAAAAGATAAGGCATAATAAACTAATGATATTTAAATAATTTTTATAATTTATAAACGGATATGGATATCCGCGGGTATGAATATCATTAAACTTATATCCATATCCTTAACAAATGGGTATTTAAATATCCATTTATTTTATATGTGGATATCCATTAAGCTACCCGCTCCATACTCGTGACGGATTTTATCTACGGATATCCGCAGGTACGAATTTTTTTGCCATCCCTATTCATAAAGAGTTGACAAAAATATTTTAAATACCATGTGTTGTGAATCTTGTTGTGAATTATGACAAAATTCAATATCAATTTGTGAGGCAAAGAACAATAACGACCAAAATAAATGGTTTTTAGCAATAATAATCCGTACACAAATAATATTACAGAGTAAGGAAAAAAAACCCGAAGGTTTGTTAATCCAGTTCGATCAAAATATCTACTCTAAGGGAAAGAGCAACTCTCCAGTTCACTATACTCAGAAAGTTGTTATAAGAGATTACTGATGAGTTATAAGAAAATAGCCTTCGCCTTCAGGTTCCCAAGAACAACCCTATTTTCTACCCAAGTGTTTCCCAACCTTTCCAACTCTCAATATATGAATCACTCAAACTCAATGTGTAACAGTGTTTCACAATAACCTTAAACAACTCCAAAGGTTTACCTAAACCTTTGTTTTTCTAGGGTTTTCCTTGTGAATAGCTGAAACCATATGATATGTCTTTAAACCCTTGCTCTTCATTGTTGGTGTAAACTTTAAGATTGTCACACACCAAACATATAAGAGATATACATTTAGAATAACAAATACCCAACAAACAAAGCCCAAAATCACATGGATCCATGGACCGAATCGAAAAAGCTCAAAAACTCAAAAATATTATTCACCGTACGGACGTCACTATTCATCCATACCGATATGACTATTCACCCTACAAACGACACTATTCACCGACCAATTTTTTTTCTCGACTTTTCGTCCGACTTTCTAAAACTTTTGATTTTTGCAGTAAATGCAATCTCCCATATATGTTTTCTTTCTCTTCATCAATAAAGGTTATAAGGCACATTTACAACAATATCCACCTTGACTTTAAACCGTGTTGATACCAATTTAACAATCAACAATATTGTTGCTCTCTACCAAGTTGAAACTTTAACCAATAACTTTGATTAAATTCAAGTAACCCTTGAATCTTGATCTCACAACTTGCATCCACTTGTTCCAAATTACCCTTTTCTGCCTAGGTAATAACAAGCCTACAAGTATGATTTTTCGACCACCCTTGACTCCACCTGCTTTCAAATGCCTCCCTAAAGGTTTTTCTTCTTTTATTTTGCAGTCCTTCAGCCATATTAAAAACATAATATCCAAGACTAGCATAATCGTCCCTTTGAGATGCTACAATAACCCTCCTTACCTTACCATGAGTCAAATGATAATCAGAGATCTCTGTAACCATTCCTTCACTAGTGCTAGCATGCATAGTAGGAAACTCCGCCTCAAACTGAGTTTTCTCTGTTATAGTTTCTCCCTTGGTTTTCACTATTCTTATTCTAAAGAAATTCTCTATCAACCAAGTAAGCTGTTTTGACCTCAGCTCTTCCCCAAAAACTCAATAACAACTCAACGGTAACATGCATATTTATCCATTGTTATATAATATTAAACTTTAGTTATACAACAACCACGTCATAATTTGTGTATAAAGAAGAATCAGAGGGGATGGAACTTCTACAAAGCATAGAAGAATCAGAAAAACGATTAACAAAGGCAAGGTGGACATTTGTTTTATACAGGAAACTAAGAGGCAGAATATGACTGAGGAATTCATAAAGAGCTTATGGGGTGTGGATAGGTGTGAATAGACTGCTAAACCATCAATTGGACAATCTGGTGGACTGATAACAATTTGGAGGTCAGAAATGATGAAACATGTATCTAGTTTCTGTGGTAAGGGCTTCTTGGGTATCAATGTGGCGTGGAAGGAGTTGAACTGTTACCTCATCAACGAATATTCATCCTGCGTTGTGGATGAGAAAAGGCGCATGTGAGCGGAGTTAGTAAGTTGGAAAAATAAACTACAATATGGGGAGTGAATTGTTGTTGGGGATTTCAATGTTGTGAAACCTAAAGGTGAAAGGAAAGGCAGAGACCAAGTGTGCAAAGTATAGATGAAATACTTTAACTCATTTATTGACATGATGAATTTGATTGACCTACCTACTATTGGAAACAAATACACATGGTTCAACACAAACTAGATACGGGTTTGAATATACGTTGGTGAGATGACAATTCAACTCCTTCCACACCATATTGATACCTAAAAAGCCCTTACCACATAAACTAGATACATGTTTCATCATGTCTAACCTCCAAATCGTTATTAGTCCACCAGATTGTCCAATCGATGGTGTAGCAGACCATTCACACCTATCCACACCCCAAAAGCTCTTTACGAATTCCTCAGTCATGTTCTGCCTCTTAGTTTCCTGTATAAAACAAATGTCCGTCTTGCCTTTGTTAATCGTTTCTCTGATTCTTCTACGCTTTGTAGAAGTTCCGCCTCCTCTAATGTTATATGTTATACAATTCATGGTTCTCTCGTTTCAACCCCCTTCTTCATGTTGTGTTTCTCCTTTGCACCCAATCTTCTGATTATGCCTTTGAATACTTTATTGTCTTCTTCACCTTCAATTCCAAGTTTCTTGATTGAATCCTAAATCTTCGCATAAACCTCTCAATTGCCTTCCTGACCCGTGAGTTGCTCTGGTTGACATCCGCATCTTCAATCAAATCACAACACAAAACGGATCCTTCTGAATGTCTTGACATTGAGTCTTCTTTATCCAAACTGCTTTCTACAATGTTCTTGCGTGGTAATTGTTCTTTTTTAGTCGTGCCAGTAATTGAATTACCATTGTTTGTAAGGGAAAATGCAGCATAACACGAAGGTGCGAAGGAGATTTTAAGTATTTCATAAACATCACATATCCTTTTCTTTTTCTTTAGTTTACCTTTCTGGATTGGTTCCTCCAAACCCTTTGTCCCAACAGAACTAGGTTCCAAACAGGCCAGAGTTAGGTCCAACTTATTAGGCCCATTTAAGCACGGTCCATCAAAATTATTGTTTGTATCGGCAACGTCTGTTTTTCCCCGTTTGTTTAATATCATGGGCCCCACGCCGTCAGATAATTCATCTTCCACTTCAGCTGGGTACAACACCTTTTTTATTTTTGAATCGTTACTTTTGTCCATATCAACACTTCCAACATTTGACTTTTTGAATTTCTCAACCTGATTGCGACACGTGCTTGTATTTGCAGACATATACTCATGATGTTGATTATTACCCTGTTGATGTCTATTTGTCCCACCTGAAATACTATCTTTCACATCAGTTGCCATAATCTTGTTAGGTTGAGTAGGTCTATTCTGATCTGACCTAGAATTTTGTGTTTCATCTTCTTCCTCTTCGTTTGAGCCATCACAACTAAGATAAAAAGTGATGATTTCATCTTACTTCATAGTCCATTCAATATAAAAAGTGTGACTTTTCCACCTCAATTAACCTTCCAACAGAAGAAAAAAAATGGCGGTGCACTTTCAAGTGTTTCACCTTGGTATGTGGTCAAGGAGAAAAATAATGCAATTTTTATTATAGTTTATATTACATCACTCACCTACCTGTCGTACCTCGAAAAATACGATCCTCGCGATGGACTCGGAAAATACTGTTCGAAACAGAGTCGCCACCGAACTTTATTCATTCCAAGGAAGGAATAGGAAAATATCGATAAAACCTTTAAAGGGATAAGAACCTGGTCATCGCAACCAATATTCTAGGTTCGGGAGTCGATTACATAGAGGGAAGGTATTAGCACCCTCTATGTCTGTTGTACTCAACAGGAACCTCTTGATCAATTCGCGAGAGAAGTTAGCTATGTTTGTGTATCTTCTAAGGAATTGGTTGCTAATAGAAAAAGGGGTGATTATTAAGATAGGGTGCTCGCCAAGGATTATGGCCCTTGTGCCTACGTATCTTCACTTGTAAGAAGTGGAAAATCAGAGCGTTCGTAGTTCATGGGACTACGGGTAAAGAGGGGATTGTGCTCGCTAGGATTATCGTAATCCTATGCCTACGTACTCTCAACAGATATGAGAGATCAGAGCAGCCGTAGTTCGGCCTACGGTTTGCTAAAAGGTTTGTGTTTGTAATGAACGAGAGTTTAGGTCGCATTCTAACTGCTAAACGTGGCTTGTTTGCTCGCTAGGGGAGGCTGAAGCACGAGTTCATATGCGCGGAAGAAGGGACTAAACAATGTTCTTGGTAAGAGGTGTGTTTGAGTTGTGGATCGCACGGGGGCGAGGAGTAGAGTTTGATTGGTTAAGTATTTTGGTTTAGACAAGAAGATAGGTTTGAATAGTTGAACGGATGACGATTATTTGAAGCCTAAGAAAGACTTCTCGGACCCAAGTAATCGGGAAAGCGAACCAAAGATTTGGAACACTCTCTTTTTCATCGCTAAAGGAATTGTTTGAATGGCGTTTGAAAGATGAGATTGGTCGGATGACAACTACTTGAAGCTTAAGAAAGACTTCTCGGATCCAAGTAGTCGGGAGAGCGAACCAAAGACTTGGGACACTCTCTTTTTCATCGTAAAAGAAGTTGTTTGAAAGATGAGTGAAAGGATGAGTAATTGAAAGGTGGTTGAATGTTGTCGAGTTTGTTAATATTATTTAAAGGCATCAATTGCTCACACACGAATAAGATAACTCGCATCCAAACAATCGAAAGCAAGCTCAAAGACTCGAACCCACTCTTTACACCTTGCAAAAGAATTGAATAGTTGTTAGTTGATTGATAGTTTGTTTTGAAAATCCTCTTGACGTTGGATCAAGGGTTTGACACATTATCGCGTGCAAAGCGTGTAATGTACATGGTTTGAAAAAGAGATCGACTTGACTTACGCATCAAGGGTCAAATTGTAATAGGTCGACGGCGAATGCGTATGAGCACTCGACTTACGAGGTTTGAAAATGGCTCGATGATGAATCGAGAATTAGTTTGAAAATAGTTTGAATCCGCTCTAGTCCCTATGGGTGCTCCTAGGAGATAAACTAATAATCAAATAAATGGGAAACATACATCAGAATGGGGAAGGGATACATGTAATTTACACGGGATTGCACGAAATAAAGGAGGTCTCATTGTCAGGTAGCCCAAGAGAAAGCCGTGTGTGTGCATTTGTGTCCTAAATTACGTCTTGAGCAAAGTCGGGCACGACTTAAAATCAAGATACATGCAAATAACCAATGATACAACAGTCCACCAATTTGGCTTTTGGGAGTTTCGATAATTTATTATACGTTTTCGAATATGGGTGAATGAATGAATAATGAGATATGATATGTGAATAATAATATGACAATAATGAATAAATAATATGTTAGGATAAATATAACAATAATATGAACAATAATATTCAACAGAAATTAAATTCAATGGTTAGTGAACCGAATCGGGGTATGAAAGAATGGATCTCGTCTTAATCGCAAACATAATGCCGATTAATCGAAGGTAGCCTATCACGATCCCAAAGTACGGAAAATGACCCCAACGGTTATTCACCATAGATTTGAAATCGAGAAGGTTATCAACTCTGAAATATGGCGCTTGCGGATAAAAAGACTTCATCGATCCACAAGTCAAAAATAAAATCGAATCGGAATAAAAAATAAGAAAGAAAAGAGGTGGTCTCAGATTCTTTGTTTCACGTCAATAATTTGACGGTTAAACGATGGAAATGTCGTCATCGACCCAAACAGAAAATGGGACAAAATGCCCAATAACAATGCGAAATGAAATTAACTTTTTAAAAGAAAATAAATCTCCAAACTTAAATATAAAATACATACAAACTATAAGTAATATAATATATTCAAAATAATAATATAATAAATATTTACTAATCAATAATATATATAAATAGAATAATAATATATACATAAACTAAGATAATTTACCAAATAAAATAAGTAAAAAAAAAAAACAGAGAGGGGTGTATACAGAAAAAAAAGGAGGTGGTTCGGTAAAATAACAAAAAATAACAATGGGCTTAGCCCAGATCACAAAACCACAACACATGGGGGCGAAAACGGAAAATGGGGGTGGATCCAGAAAATGAAGGAATGGGCCGCGAAGGCCCACTAACCAAATGGGGAACCCAAAAGGAAACTTCATCTTCTTTCTCATCTCGCTAACCCTAGTCTCTCCTTCGCCGCCACCGTCTCTCCTGCGTTTCAACCTTACATTTCCCCTTTTCACATCCATCAGCCCAACATAACATCTCTCTCCCTCTCAGTTTAGTTTCTTTTCTTCAGCCATCAACATACAACCTACAAAATAGACAAACACAAATCCAACAATCCAAATTCTCGATCCAACTTCTGTTGAGCGTTAAGGCTTGAGTTTAGTTGCGATTGATGGATGAAGATCCGAAGAAACACGAGTTATCGTTCATGAGGTTTGGAAATGAATCTCGTCAAGGATTTATGGAAAAAGATGCGGATCCACGAGTTTGAAGGTGATGAAAATTCATGAGTTTAGATCCGGATAATGCTTGAAGTTTGGTAGCGGTTTGAGTTCAGAGATATTTGATCTGTTGAAGTTTAATCTCGTTCGTGGTTTGATGAAGATTCGTGTGGATATTTGAATCGAAGATTCATGACAAGATCCGGAGAGGTTTCGAACATTCATGAAGATCTGGAGATGCATGTTGAGTTGGGTGATTTACGATTTTACGAATCTGGAATTTGGATTTCGTTGTTGTTTGAGACAGATCGGAGGTGTGAGTTCATGATTGGTGAAGTTTGGATCTGTAGATATGTGTTTGGATTGGAGTTTGAAGATGTTTGAGTGTAGATGAATATGTGTGAAGTTGTTGTGTTTAGATCTGGAATTTGCGATGAAGATTGGTTGAAGTTTTCTGGGATTTTGCATGAGCCCGATGAATGATGAATTTCTGGGGAATTGGGATGATTTCTGGGTTTACAATGATGAAGGTTTGAATGAAAGCGGTATGAACATGATGAAGTTGGTATGATTTCTGGAAAAAACGAAGAACTCAGATGAAGGTGGTGTGTATTTTCTGGAAAAAGTTTGAAGGTCACATGAATATTCCGGTGACAGATGAAGTTTTCGGTGTCATTTCCGGCATGCTCTTGGCCTGTTGATTTGTCCGGCGAGTGTGCCGGTGGTTCGTATGGCCGGCGGTGGGTGTTGAGACCCTTGGGGTTAGGGTTTCAGTGGCTCAAGAAAAGGGCGGCTGACCTAGGGTTAGGGTTTCAGTCCCCAGGAAGGGGGACAATGAATAGTGTCTGTATTTATAGACAGATGATACGTGGCAATGGATTAATTGATAAACTAATAATTAATTAGACTGATGATGAAACAAACCGAAATTAAATGTAACTTAACGAGAATACTGATTAATAAAACCCTAATAAAACAAATTAATGACAATTAACCCTAACTAACTAACTCCTAATTCAAAAATAATAATCCTAATTAAATTAAAATAAACTCCTAATATAA